CACACACACACACACACACACACACACACACACACACCAACAAACACAGACGGAGGCGTGTGCGCACACACACGAATCCACATGTATTGTCTCTTTCTTATCTCTCAGTAAAAGTATCTGACAACCAAAACCCCAAAGAGCTCCAATGCATGGCTTCACAGCAAGGCGACACAGTCAGCAAAATAAATTGAAAGCATTAAGAGAAAGTCAAAAAAAGTGAAAAACTAGAACAGAAAGAGAGAAGAAAAATAAAACATAAAAACAAAATAACCTCTCTGCACCAGCAACTCCCCCACAGCCACCTACATATAAACCCCCTCAACCTCCCCCCCACCCCACCCTCAGCTCAGCTCTGCTCCCCACTTGGAAAGAAACAGGATGAAATGACATTATGCATATGAAAATGTCCAGAAAGATGTTTGATTTATGTATGCATTAGATGCAAATTCTATTACGGGACACAAGGCGGGCTGCGAGATTTCCCACTGAACACTTGGCTGCCCTGATCAAACCCCATCTCATTATTTCAGACAAGGGGAGAAAGATAGAAGGAGTGAAAGAGGGAGAATTGGAAGAAATTTACAACCCAGACACAGACTTTTTTTAAAAGAAAGAAAGCAGGAGAGTGGGCTGATGGTGGGGTGCAGGAGTCRGACCACTCTGCAGATCAGATGGTCAGAATAATTAAAACGGTGTATTACAGAACAAAACAAAAAAGTGTCAGCAGCTAAATATTTACGAAATAATAAGTACTCAAATTATATCATCGTGAGTGTAGAAACGGTCATTTTTGTGAGAGAGAAAAACACATTATTAAATGCTTGATGAGTTAGAAGCAGAACAGTTAGTTTTTTAAAGTTGGAGGTCTTTTTTTTACACCAAACTGATCCAAGAACCAACATTGAAGAGATGATGATTAGTGTCTCCTCAGGTTAACAACAGCAACAGAATTCATCACTTGTCCCAAAGCAAGAAGACATGAATGTCCAACCACTGGATGTGCTAATTAAAGCTGTAGAAGAGGACAAATATGTGACTCATCACATCAGAACGAGGAATCTAAGTGGAAAAAAAGGCAGATACAGTGTTTTGATTAAAAACAAAATACAATGAATTACCAGTGTATCATTTGAACTAACTGTTGGAAATATAATCCTAAAAAAATTCAACATTTTTCTCTGCATTAGCAACAAAAAACCTGATTTTGAGGAAAAACGCCTCAAAACTTTGAGATTTTCCCTGTGAGTTAGCAGAGTTTTTGTTTCTTCACAGCTGTAAAATATCACTATTAAACACTGTTTAGGTTTTCCTCTTGATAATTTATGATTTTTTTTTTTTTGCTGATGAGGGTGTAAAATTATATATGTTCATGTGTATATGTATGTATATGTATTATATGTGTAAATATGTACATATGAATGTGTGTATGTGTA